ATATATATATATATATATATATATATATGTATATATGTATATATGTATATATATATATATATTTTTTTTTTTTTCTCATCAATACAAAACAAAACAAAAAAAAAACCCTTGGACAAAACCTTGGTATAATTGAATTGCATGATCTTTACATATCTTTTTAAAGGAATAGTTCACCCAGAAATCATTTACTCACCCTTGTTTATAGCCTTTTTGAGTTTCGTACTTCTGTTAAACACCAAAGAAATAAAAATTTACTAGGGAGGTCGATGGGTGCCAGCTACCAGCCTTCTTCAAATTATCTTCTTTCGTGTTTACCAATAGAAAGAATCTCAAAGATTCTAAACCCCATGAGGGGGAATAAATGATGAGCTAATATTCTTTTATGTGGGTGATTTTAAATTTTATTTTTTATAAATGGCTTGTAATACTCACAGTGTCCACCAGTTTGGTGAATGGGCTGGTTGAGTTCCAGCTGCACCATTTCTTATGGAGTTGAGGAAGAGGAGGAAGAAGATCCCGGAAGGTTCGGACACTCCATGCTCGTGGTCGTGTGCTGTTTGTTGATCCAGTAAAGTTGCTCTTTGTTGCAGACGGCAGTGCTGGATCGGGAGTGGACCAGTCGAAGGGGTGGCTGGGTCCAGTGTCACTGTGTCTCAGGAAACGATCGCGTTGCTATGAAAGACAGAACATATTTAGATTATCATTTAGATTTGATTGTCAATTTCAAAATATTAAAATAAAGTTCTTCAGCACTGCAATAGTTCTGTAGAATAATAAAGACACTAAATTCTGAATTTTAATTTCTGGGATTCTGAACATGCAGGGCTCTATGCAAAACTAGCGTTTTAAAGCCAACAATAAACTTCTGTTGAAAGCTTAATGTAGCTATTTTCAATTTCACAAGGTTGTTTTTACAGCCTCGATGTTGCAGTGTAATTACAACACATTCAGTTAAATAGAAATAAGTTGTTCAAGTGTAAGTGTGAGATGAAAGTATCAACAGGCTAACGCAGAAATTTCATTGAAAATACTGGGGTAAAATAAACTGTCATATTTTAAAGACATGGCAGGGGGAAATGGAATTTAATGCAGTGCTTCTCACTCAATCTGAGACCCATTCATATCATATATCTAACAAGCAGTGAAGATCGTTCATTTTTAAAGAAATCAGATCTTAAACGTGACAATTTTGTAATGGAAAGACAGTTCACCGGAAGCCCTCGGACTGCCTGGCTAAAAACTAAAAGTCTGTGTGCATATAGACATTCAGTTTGCCATCACAGAAATACATTATATTTCACAATGTATTAAAATTGGTAAAATATTTTATTTTAATATTTTTAAAAAGTCTTAAATTCACAGAAATATTGTGTTGTTGGTCCTAAATTTAAGCAGGTCTTCATTTTAAAAGTTGTAGAAGTAAAGTTACCCAATTGGGCCGACACACATCCAATCACCAACAGTCTATCTAAATAATTTGATATATACACAAGTATATATATATGTTTCTTTGTGTTGCAAATGTTGCAAAGAGATGTTTTGTTTCACAACAGCTGTTTTTTTTTTTATTAAATCCCCTAATCAGTAAAATAAAACTAAAAACTAAAACTATTTATAAGATATATAAATAGGCATGAAACTTAAGGTTTTCTAACAGAAACGCATTAGGTTGAATAAGAATTATACTCAATTCATTTGGACCAAATGCAGATAAATATATATCTTTGATTATTCATGTTGTTTTCTTCATAATAAATATACTTTAAACAATGGTAAACTTGTCATTAAAAAAGAAAGATTATTTTAAAAAAAAGTCTATACAACTAGAGTTTTTTTTGTTTTGACATTAAAATATGTGATTAAGAAATAACTAAATTAGATTTTTCCAATTCCATTGGTCCAACCGGGCCATTACAAAAAATACTTTGTATTTAACCCCATATATGTCTTGGTCCAAACTTTGGAACATTCATTCATTCATTCATTTTCTTGTCGGCTTAGTCCCTTAATAATCCGACGTCACTACAGCGGAATGAACCGCCAACTTATCCAGCAAGTTTCTTAGCAGCGGATGCCCTTCCAGCTGCAACCCATCTCTGGGAAACATCCACACACACATTCACACACACACACACACACATACACTTAGGACAATTTAGCCCACCCAGTTCACCTGTACCGCATGTCTTTGGACTGTGGGGGAAACCAGAGCACCCGGAGAAAACCCACGCGAAGGCAGGAAGAACATGCAAACTCCACACAGAAATGCCAACTGAGCCGAGGTTCGAACCAGCAACCTTCTTGCTGTGAGGCGACAGCACTACCTACTGCGCCACTGCCTCGCCACTTTGGAACATATTATATTATATTGTATTGTATTATATTGCATTATATTGTATTATATTTTATTATATTATATTATATTATAATATATACAAAAGTTCTGTCTGTTTCTTGACTCTGATTTACTGATAGCCCTGCAGTATTCTGCAAATAATAGCACTTGTCCAGCCTTTTCACCCTTCACCTTTGTGTATTCCACTCACATACAGCAACAAACCGAGGACACTACAGTTTGACAAATATTGCAGCTGTTGGACAACAATATACTTTTGAGGCTTTTTTTGTTGTTGTTGTTGAGATTGTAAGTGTTTAGATTGCAACTATGCAGTTTATTTATAAGGATAATGCTCATTTAAAAAATGATTAATTTCTGAGACAGCGCGTCAGCGGCCATTAGCCTGTCTTTGAGCTAAGATGGTTGAAGTTGTCCAAACCCAAGATGGTGACAGAGACTGCATCATAAGCTCTTAGAAGAGAAATTACAGCTGATCAAATCATTATAAAACAGGTAAGTGATGTTCTAAGGTGATCTCTCTCTTTTGTATATTGTAGTGCTGTATTTATACCATATAACTGTAGTGTATTGAGTGTGAGATGGGACTCCGCTATCAGTAATGTATGTATTTTGCCCCTCTTTAGGTAACCTTGAGTTACTTTTTTGGGGGGATATTTATTGTGATCTCCCGATTTTGTCATCACTTTAGTTTAGACATTACGCTAGAGAGTCATTCAAAAACTAGCTCTAAAGTGACATTTGTGAAGTAGCAACGGTTTTTGTTGTTCTGACGTTAGCTGCAGATGTGAATGAATGGTGGAAGAAAGCAGTTCCTTGTACAAAAGGATTTAGAGATTTTCCATGTTTGATTTTCTTTTTTAAATACACAATTATGCTGTCAAACTGTTGTATAAACGCAATATCACACTTGTAGCAGTGCGATGTGGCTGTATATCATCACTGGTGGGACACTAAAGCCTTCCACCAGGCCTATATAGCCACATTTCACTGATACTTGTATTATATTATATTATATTATATTATATTATATTATATTATATTATATTATATTATAATAAATTAAATTATATTTAAATTATATTATATTAAATTATATTATATTAATTATATTATATTATAATAAATTAAATTATATTTAAATTATATTATATTAATTTATATTACATTATATTATATTATATTATATTATATTATATTATATTATATTATATATACTCAAGTGCAAACCCCTGTTTTAGGAAAGACTGAACTAAAAATCACAATCCATAATTCCACTATAATGAGCTTGCTAATTAAATAAATTAGGCAGCAAAGTAGCTTACAACAAAAAAATTCCCAAACTAGACTCATTCAAAAACAAAAGTAATTAAGCTTCATAAACGGCCAAAATCACTACCTCTAATTTCAATTAACTTACATTTCATAATCAATAAACATCCATTAGTGAAAACAAACGTGGCTCTCTAGCGCTGAAGCCAGTGAAACTATATCCAGAGCGACCGACTGTTGCTTTAGCAGGATTAAACAGGATTTCTTCATTCTCTTTTGAATGCTTTCAAATCTAAATGGGCGTCCAGGACCTCCAAAAGTGTCCGTCAGCTGTTAATGGCACATGTGCAGCGTGTGGGCGAGTATCAGAAGGGCTTTTCCCATCAGTAGGAGTTTGACAGTCCTCACACATGATCTCTCACAGCTCTCCATGTCTAGACGAGTATTATGTTGGATTTAATCTTGAGCTCTTCTGGCACGGTTTCATATTTTACCCAAGACTACGCCAAACTGTCTGGCTGTGGGCGAAGGCAAAAACAAATATGGATAAAGAAACAACACGGCTAAGACTTGAGTATGCCTGTGTCCAAAAGGTTTGAGCGATAAAAAAAGTCTTTGTATTTGGCCCTTTACAATGCTTAATAATGGAGTTGGGGCGGGTGGTAAATTGAGTGTGTACAATATACTGTGCACGCTCAGTACTGTTTACATTGATATTGTATTGTTGTATTGTTTGATCTAAAAAAAAAAAAAAGTGGAGGACAGAGTGATGATCTGGAGTGAAAGTTTACAATCCAATTTGTCCTAAACACGGCTAATGTTTTACATTTATTCATTTTCTTTTCAGCTTAGTCCCTTTATTAATCTAGCGTAGGTGGAATGAACCGCCAACTGATCCAGCATATGTTTTACGCAGCGGATGCCCTTCCAGCTGCAACCCATCACTGGACTCCCACCCATGGACTCTCATTCACACCCATACACTTAGCCTACACAATTCACTCAAAGTGCATGTCTTTGGAAACCCACGCGAAAAGGGGGAGAAGATGCAAACTCCACACAGAAATGCAAACTGACCCAGCAGAGGCTGGAACCAGCGATCGTCTTCCTGTGAGGCGATTGTGCTACCCACTGCACCTCTGTGACGCTCCATGTTTTATATAAAGGGCTTAAAAATCATATTGTATTGGGTTTGAAGCTTGACAGGCACATTTGCTGCTGACAGATCATCTATTTGTGTCGTTTGATGTGTTAAAAATTTGGTGTTTGCCTCTTTTTCACTGACATATTTTCCAACTGTAATTGTGAGGTCATATTTAAAAAATCTAAATTTTACTGTAAGCATAGTTTCGCTAAAGTTCATAAACTTTATTGAACAAGCACTGCCATGCACATACAATTGAAGACACAATTACTAGCCCTCCTGTGAAATTAAATTTTATTATTACTTTTAAATAGAATAGATTTTTTTTCCTCCACACATTTTTGTTACATTCGTTCACGTATTTTCTTTCAGCTTAGTCCCTTATTTATCAGGGGTCGCCACAGTGGAATGAACCACCATTTTTGTTACATTTTTAGCATTTTAAACATTTTACATGCTAAGTTTGAACTAATTTCTCATAATGTGTTTGATAACAGTGCATAATATTTTACCAGGTATTTTGCAAGACACTAGTATTCATCTTAAAGGCAATTAAGCTTGGACAACAGTGAAAAAAGGGGGCTAATCATATTGACCTTTGCAATTTTTTTGCAGTTAAAAAAAAAAAAAAAACTAATAAATAATTAAATAAATAAAATAAATATATATTAACCCTCTATTATGATAAACCTGTAAATAAAAATATATTTGACTTTTTCTTTTAATTATATTCTTCTTCTTTAAATTATAAAAATTAAAGGTATTTTTTGATCCTTAGTTTTAATAATTTTGTTGTTTGAAATGATTTAATTGGTGTTGCAGTATTACAAGCTTTAACGCGGAACTCATAAATGACACCCTATAAGTACCTTCCAACAACTGATATTTCAACAGAGGTGA